TTTATTCAGCATACTTATCAACTTTTTTTCCTTACTATAACCAGGCGGATTTTTATGGCCTTTTTTGCGCTCATCATAACCGGCCATTAGAGATTTACAGCCATGTTTAAGACCCGATTCAGCCGTGATCCACCCGAGCAAGTTGTCCGCCGACCCAATACGCCCTATGGCCCCATGTGCCTTTGCCACAGAATCTGTCGCCGACTTATTTGTAGCCAGTTCATATACGATGACATTGTCAAGGCAAATGAATGATCGTTGTCCTGCAGTGCCCCCAGACCGGCTTGTCTTCAGGTCAACGTCACTATGATTGGCACTACGGCGACAGCAAGAAAAGCCAAACCCATTCGAAAAGCAATTTGAAGCGAACGCAGTCCGATTATTCTTCTTTAAAATGTCGCCATCAACATTATTTGCTCGATAGGTCACAGTTTGACGTCTCCGAGAGTCATATATGCAATAAGCGCAAATGAATATGAAAATCAGTATGAAGCTAGCTGATGTAGCAATAATCAACGGTAAAAGCCAAATGTGTTTCAACAACAGTGACGACTTCCAGAAAAATAGATGGGAAGAATCGTTTATACTCGGAAGGATAGCACCAACAGATTTATTTTGAAGGGCATCATTTACGTTTTGTACCTTTTCTTCATTATCCTGTCCTAATTCTAAAGTGTAATCACTAGGGGAAGCGGTGAGGATTGCAGTAGTGGTAGTTGTGGTAGTAACTTCCACTTTTGGAGGGCAGGGACTTTCAGGAGTCCAGCCAAGAATTCCACTTTCGCCTGAAGATGCCTTGCAGATGTACTCATTATCATCACAATTGATGTGACAATTTTCCATATAGATAGGGGTCCCCTGGTCCCCAGTGCCACAAACACTCACAATACATGATTTCAGCCTTTCACAAACCTCGCATTCTGAAGAGATAAAAAAGGAAAAATAAACAGTTATTCTCGAAAACGGTTGTTTTTATCAATAAAACATAAAATTATCAGTAATGGTAAATAGTGAAATCGTTAAGGGTTATTTGAAATGCCTGGCGTAATTAAAAGCATGTAAAAAAGTTCAATATTATGTAATACAAATCCTTATTATTTAGATCGAACTGAAAAATTTGTTGCTTAAGTGGCGATTGAATAAATTTGTAGATTGTTTCGCCCTAAAAGTAAGCAGGAATGCGCTTGCCATTTTGCAGCCAACTTTTGTATTAGACGCATTTTAGGGTTACACCATTCCTTAAATTTTAAAGTTGTTGAGACTTCATCTGCCCTAACAAATTTCAGTAAATTTTAGTACCTACCCACGAGCTACAATTCAGTTATGTATAGAATAATTATGTTACTCCACGTCTATGTCCATGTGAATACATATAAGGCAGTTAGTTGTACATGAGTGCTTGACAGTGCTTGAATTATTCATAGCAATAAGTGCTAAATTTTGTATTAAGAATAATCGAAGCATCCATCCTACACAAGTGAACACCTGTGAAGTCTCATTTATCCATCAATGCGACCACTTTAGAAGAGAAGTCAGAGCGTTTTACGTACTAAACTTAGTTTGCGAGGAGATTTCTGCATGTATATGTGGTTGGAAAAACTTTTGGGCAATTGTTAGATACATTGATGCGTTGTAATATTTTTTGTCCGTTATTGTAAATGTCTCATCCCCTTTAGATATAATAAACTCAGGTATTTAATCACATTAGTATATCTCATCTTATCTCTAAAATCCAACAATTCGAATGAATTTACATCTCTCAAAAGATTGAGCCAGCCGGATACATGAGGTTTTTTACACTTGAGGTATCACATATTAGCGAAATATAAGCATAAACATAGAATCATGAGAAACTAGTGTGACCGCAGAAGTTATTCGTTTTAATATAAGAATGTCCCTTGTTATT